GTTCCTTATTATAGTTACACTATAATGGGGCCTACAACGCTATTCTAAGTATTAAGCCCCCTACGTTAGTGCTCATTCGGACTGTTCTTGAATTCTTGCCACTTTCTGGCTACTCTTGAGTTGACCCTAAACCCTAAACCCTAAACTCCTAAACCCTAAACCCCTAAATCCTAAACCCTAAGCCTCTGAACCCGAAGTTTAGCATGTGCCCCTACAGAGCTTTAGCCCCAAGCCCTCATCTGCATCCCAAAAGGGTTTAGGTTTAGGGTTTAGGGTTTAGAATTTAGGGTTTAGGGTTTAGGGTTTAGAACCTCGAATCCACAATCCCGAAAGACAGCGACAACAGGCCCCAGCCTCATAGACCCCACAAGCCACGAAAGAACACGAAACTCTTTTTGCATCGTGAGTTCAGGGGTATAGTCCTGAGGAGTCTTGGGTTCGGTGGGTCCAGTTGAAACTGGAGCCTTTAAGACGTCTAAACCTCTGCTTGGAGGGTTGGGGGACTTGGTAAGTAACTATTTTTATAGATTTATAAGTATCATAACCCCAATTAGGATCCCTTTTAGGGTACTTATACTTATAAGTCTACTTATTACCTACTTACTAAGTCCCCCGACTCTCCAAGTACAGCGAACCCCAGAAAGTTGGAACATGGGTTTAGCATGATGAGCGCTCGGATCCCATGTGCTTTACCTTCAGGGCATGAGGATATGTTGCAAATTCCTGGCCCTAAACCCTAAACCCTACACCCTAATCTCTAATCTCTAAAACCCGAAGCTCCCAAACCCCTAAGCCCCTAAACCCTTAAATCCCAAACCCCTAAAGCCTAATCCTCTAAACCCTGAACCCCGAAACCCTAACCCCAAACCTCTAAACCTCTAAACCCCGAACCCCTAAACCCTAAACCCCCTCTCGAGAGTACCCTTAAAGGAGCCCTTACAGGAACCCCCCCAACCCTTCCTCAAGAGTACCTGTCCAGGTGGAAGAGGAGATGAAGCAGTGGGCCAGGCAGGTGGGCCTTGTTGTTACTTAGTAGGCCATTTTTGGGGTTGCAAGAATCCGAATGTTGGTGTCCTGCTCAGCTTGCGAAATGCCCTGATCCGTTGAGTAAGCTGTACATCCGAGGCCACAGCATACCCGAACCTGGGGTGGCTCCACTCTAACCTCACAGGGGGCGGAGGATCCTGATGAAAATCGCATAAACAGCTCTTACGGCCTTATATACGGCTTCAAGTAGCCTAAATCCTAAAACCTGAACGCCCTTACAGTACCCCTAAAAGCCTCTACAATAAAGACCCCAAGTCCAAAAACCTCGAAGCCTCAAGGCCCTAAAGCCCACGAGCCCTTATGGCACCGCTTGACGGGAAGCCTTGACAAATCCTTAAACCCTAAACCCTTAACCCTCAACGCTAAACCCTAAACCCTAAACCTTAAACCCTAAACCCTAAACCCTAAACCCTAAGCCCTAACGGGGGAAACCTTGAAGAATCCGTTCACTGGCAGGTCGCGACCGGAGTTTGCCACCCTCGCAAAGGCGGCACTGGCGGCACTATCAAGTTTGAGGGTTTAAGTGTTCAGGGGTTTAGGAGTTTAGGGTCGAGTTGAGGGGTTAAGGGGTTTAGGGTTTAGGGCTGAGGGGTTTCGGAGTTTAGGGTCTAGGGGTTTTAGGGTTTTAGGGTTCAGCGTTTAAGGGGCTAAGCGCTTAGGGTTCAGGTCTTCAGGTTTCGGGGCCAAAGGCGACGCAAGGCATCACGTAAACACAATGATCTTTCTGGTTATTGCTTTTAGGGTTTATAGGCGGCTTCAGGGAATTTAGGTGTGGGGTTCAGGGTGTAGGGTTGAGGGTTCTGGCTTTAGGTCTTTACTCACCCCTGCTCCGCTGTTCTCCTGGCAGATGCGGGAGAGTGCCGGTGAGCCCTGTGCCGCGATCGAGGCGCGCAGAGATCTTGAATCAGCACTTGGAGGATCATGGGACTTAGTAAGTAAGGTTACAAATCCCCTAGTTGGGGTTATAAGTATAGTTACCTTAGTTATAACCCTACTTACTAAGTCCCATGATCCTTTAAGCAAGGGAAACGTACTCCGTAAACGTTTGATGCGCTGAAGAGCCGAAGGGCTTACGGCTTACGGCCAGACCGTGATACACTGTTACACTGATGGAGACGACTGGCTTGCTTGAAGGGTTCTATTGTAGGTGCAGCGTTCTTCGCTTACTTTCTGAGAAGAGTAACGCAACGGAAGAACTCGATCTGATCGGGTTTTTTGTTTTTAAGGCTACTTTATCGGGTTTTTGTCATAAGACTCACGCTTCATCGCTCTAGTTTAGAGAGCTACACCGCTAGATCCGTGTTTCTGGTGGGCGGAGGCAGATCCCTTGGCTGCTCTCCAGACTGCGCAGGACGCGTTTTCGTTTTGCAGGTTTGACATATAACAGCCTGAAGTGACTACAGGGTGCTGTTTTGGGCACCTGAAGAAGTGAAGGCTCAAAGGCTAAACCGCCTCCGAGACTTGCAATGCTAACCGCCGTAGACCCTACCTGGACCCCAAAGAACCTGCCTTTCTAGGGTTCCTTGATATGGTGTCTTTATATAAGTCCTGCAAAAGGCAGGTTATTGGGGGTTGAGGCAAACCTTGACTAGGTGTGTCTTT